TTAAAATGACATGAAATGAACATATAAGCACATAGGCACATATAGGCTGAAAACATGAAAATTTATGCTAAGACTTGAACTACGGCCGCGGCGGGCGCGCCGTGCGCCGCCGACGGCACTAGGCCGTTTCACGGCCAATGCTCATATTCTCTCGGCAATTTACACTTCAAGGACTTACACATGACTTGCTGAAACATAATAAAACATTATGGCCGAAGCTTGAACTAAGCATGCAAGGTACGAGCGGTGGCCGGTGGCGCGCACTAAGGATGCGGCCACACCCTTCGGCCAAAATACTAGTAACATGATAATTTCATCCGAACACTTAAACATGATATCTCAAAATAACGCTAAACATGCTGACATTGGTCGGCAAAATATGAACTTAACATAACGGACATGCATGCACGGCCCGTGGCGCGCTACGTGCGCGGCCACGTCTCCCTCGGCCGAAATACTAAAACATGAAGAATCCACCGAACAAATAAGCTAAAATAAACATGATATATCATATTAGGGCTGAACATGCGTGGGTGTTCGGGAAAATATTAACATAAGGCGTGACTTGAACGAATTAGCTACGGCCTAGCACATAAGCACGCATGCATGCACGAACGGCGGCAACGAACTAGCTAAACATGATAAATTCGGACTATAAGGATGGAAACTTACCTCTTAAATAAGCTTCGGAGACTACTTTCGAACTCCCGGCCGTGAGCTTCCGCGTGCGTGCGTTGCCGTGTGCGTGGGCGTGTTGAACTTGCTCCTCGCGTACGATTGATGCGTGGCTTGCGGTGAACTCGGACTCCCGAACAACTCACATAAAATCTCACTAACACTCTATACTCTCGGCATGAACGAGGATAACACTTGACAATTCTCACTACCCTCACTAACTCACGGCACTTTAGAGGGAAAATGGCAAAATGAACTAACTTTTCCCAAGTCCCTTACTTAAGCCGAAAGTGACGGAGAAAAAGAGGGGAAAATTGGTCTTGCACGTGAATCATGGCGGAGGAAATGAGGGGGGAAAAAGACTTGTCTTATGCACGCATAATGCCAACACAATGCACGGAAAAAAATTAAGGAATCACGGGCAAGAAGACAAAAAGGAGCGCACGGATACTCATGGATATGTTGGGCGCGGATTCTTGCTGATGGTGCACACGGTTTTCATGGTCCGGACTCCCTTGAACACTCCGCCGGCTAGAGGACAAGGCGCACGGATACTTATGCCAGCCTGGACAAAAATGGACGCACGGACTACACGCAAGCCTCGAATATTCCGCCCACCTTGTTCGCGCGGCGTTCACGGACGCGGGTGGCGCACGGACCTCGGACGAACACGCGCACTAGGTCTCCATTACTAGATGATGGGCACGGGTCCTTAGACGAGCGCACACGCACTTGGCACTCGCACGGCGTGAACACTTGACACGCACGATACACGCGTACACATGAGCTCGAACCGATCATGCACACACACGGCATACGCGAATACATGAACTCGGAACAAAATCCGAACACTTGCTAATCTCGTGATTAAGTTAAATTAATCACTTAATTATGTTTAATTATCTAATTAAACATAATGCTAAATCCCCAAAATTATTTCGAACGTAGACGGTACGTCGAAAATAGTTCCGGTAATTTTGACTGAAATAACTGAAAATAATAAATCCGAAAAATAATATCGGAACTGAAATATT